TTACATTCTCCATTTATATGCCAGTTGACTAAGTACCTATACAAACGTATATGTACAAACTAAAGGTGTCCGAAAATCGATGATATTTCCGAACGAGAGTAATAGAATGCAAGACATCTTTTGGAACATTTTTGTCATCATCAGACTGGTCAAATTCACAATTTTTCACAAACTCGTCAAATTTATTTTATTTATGATATATAGTTTCTGAATCATAGAATACAGTTTCCGAAATTTGACCATTGAAGACCAACTCAGAAAAACCAACTTTTTGATTCCAAAACCAGGTAACATTTTCACACTGTGCTTTAAGAATGTTATCGAGTCTCGTACAATCTGTAAATGATTAAAAATTCATATATATACTAAAAATTGACATACATTATAAATTACAGTAAGGTTATAGTTTACAAATTAAAATATTATTAAAATTAATATATTTAACATATTATTGTCGTCTCTATAATGCCACAAAATAATTTACACCAAAAAAGAAGAAACAAAATAAAATTCAAATTTCATTTATTATTAAAAACCAATTTACGTATCATTGCATCATAAAACAATAATCCAAAATATTACATAAAATTTGAAAACTATAAAATGAATGTACATAAGAGTCTAGAAAGAAAGCACGATTCGAGGAACTCAAAATCAAATCGATCCAACTCATAAAATGTCCATTTCGGAATGGTTGCACAACGTTATCTTTGTTTCTAAAATTGAAAAATTTGGCTATCAAACAGCGTAATATTTTAATGCCAAATTTTGTAAAGTCAGTTTGCGATTCAGAGAAATGGTCATGTTAATTAATGATAGCCGAAATTGTCATTATCGAGCTTGGAAACCTTCAAATTTCAGTACCTCAAATAAAAGTAGCAAAATCAAAGAAGTAAAAAAAAAAATAAATCGTGAATTTATTAAATTTGCGGAAAAATTTTATAAATAATAATGAATGTCTAAAATAATAATAATATTAAAATGAAAATATACACATATACATGCATACATATATATTAAATAATAACATAGAAAACAATTCTCTCTGCACAATACCGAACAATCGTATATTAGATGAAATATAGTACATGCTATATAAATTGTAACTATGTACATACTATGTATAATAATTTATAAAATATTTTCATGCATTTATGATTATTGAATATAAAGGATGTAACATGATATAGTATTTGTCTTTTATATAGGTAAACAATGTGCGTCAATTCTATTAGACTATGTATATCAGATTTCTCATGAATAATTTTCATAATTTTTTGATTTATTTTCCCTAGATATACCATCATTTTTCATATTATAATATGATATGATGTGATTTCTCAAGAATTTTAAATCTAATTTTATTTTTGCAGAATATATACCAATATTATATATATAAAACAGTTTACTATATATAAACTATATAATGTTTATATATAATAGTTATAATATTGATTTTATTCATAACATAGTGTTTCCATTTAATTAATTTTTTTATATTACATAATTTTAGCGCAGAACGTACAATTGAGTTCATTGCCAATTTCTATTCATTAAAAAAAAAAACTATTGAAAATTGGATAGCGGAATTTAATAGATTTATTCAATTTCAGGAACATTAAATTGATAGTAGATCTAATATTATTATACTAAACATTTTAACACAATAACTAAAGTTTATGAATGAAAATTACAATGTTTCAATAATTTTTCCATATGAGTAACAGAAGTATATTTGATACTTTCACTAATTTTCCTGAAAATGTCATATAGATTGTCAGTAATTACTGTAATCACTACTCGTATTACTAATATCAAATGCTCACAAAAAAAAAAGATCTTAAATCAGAATCATATTATTAGTACAGTTTTAACAAAACTTAAAGAATTTTCTTATTTGATTCTTTTCTAACCGACCGTACTCAAATCTGTTTGCAAATCAATCGTCTTCAGTTTTGTTTCTTCGCATTAATAAATTTTCGACTTCCGGCTACTAACTTTCTCTATCACTATTTTTGTAAGTACTTTTATAAAATTTTATTCTGATCTTAAATGTATGCAATATAATTACATTGTAGTTTGAGGTAAAATAAAGAAAGTAATTTAAGCAAAAGAATATCGTTTTTCCAAATAAAAATATTTTTAATTGTCATAAATTAGTTAAAGGAAAGGTGCTACAATACAGACCCTTTGTTTAATTCGAATTTATTGAAAATCTTTTCCAAGTTCATTTTGAAATACATAGAATTCGTATAACAGTATAAGTATTCAACCGCAGTATAAATATTAATAAAGATGGGAAATCTTCCCCTTTTTTTTTGTAAAATAACTTCGAAACTGAACTGATTTTGTTTTTTCTGTTATTGTGTTGAAACTCATTAAAGGAATTCATGTTTTTAATAAGAAGTTTTTTGCCAATTTAATGAGATTTTGAAGAATGAAAAAATGCATACTCATATTATTTGAATAATATAAATTAAATCTTATGTATATAAGCTTCTATTACTTAACTGCATATTTTCAGGAGACTCTTATTCAGATTTTTAATATCTGAAATCCATATACAATTTCTTAATGAAACAAAATGTTCTTAAAATTAAAATTAAAAAACTTTATTGTTTTTGGCATTTATTAATGATAAAGGAAAATTAAGATACTTTATAACTGTTGTACACATATACGTATATGTGTACAATATGTATTTGATATTTTCAAATATTAGTACAAACAAAGATGTTACAATTATGCTTTATTTTAATCTGAAACATATATGTATGTACTAGTTGAATCATAAAAATACTTTGCATGAATTGATGAAAGAAAAATAGTTTCAATTAAAGTAAAAATTTATAATGAAAAGTATTTCCAAGAAATACGTAACACAGACCTAACTATTAATAGAACCTCAATAACTTAAATTATATTCAAATTACTATAACTCAAATTACAATATTAACAATACACGTTTTAGACAGTGTGTCCCGAACAGGCGTTAAATTTTCGATCAAAAAGGAAGCGTTAAAATGATTTCGCTTATTTTTCGCTATAAATAAATAATAATTCATTTATAGCGAAATTTATAGCGAATTTTATTAATAAATTTCGCTATAATAAATTTTCTTTAAAAAAAAATGAACAGTTAAAGGATGAAAAAAATAGACAAATTTTAAATTTCAGAACTTTTGTTTGCTTTAAAAAATTTACAATATAATACAGATTAAAGACAATTCCGCTTATGGATATGTTACAATATACCTATGTCATATGTCGCACCAGCAGAGCGTTCAAAACGTCTTGACACATCACTTTCAACAACGGCCACTAAAAAAATTATTAAAATGGTTCCCGCTACCGCAGGATTTCAGAAATCAGATTGCAGCGCCAAAAATTTTCTTAATTTATCTATAATAACCATCAGTCTGCCAAAATAATAAAAATATATTGTAAGAGTAAGTGACAAGGTAATTTTTCTGTAGGAGTTCAATTGTAATTTTACAATGTTTCATGTGGAAGTGTTTGCCAAAACAATTTAGTAGTTTATTTTTCTTAGACAGTTTTGAGTGACAAAAATCTATTCAGAAAGGGTTTTAAAATATCGTGGCAGTAAGAGTGTTAATAGAACTCATAAATTCCAATTTAAATCGAATATACAAACAAATATTTTAATTCATTAATTATAAATCAAAAAAAAAAGAGACGTCTCGGATTAAACAAAATAAACTTTTATAAATAAAACAAATTCGCATTAAATTTAATATACAAAACTTATAATATTTGGCCTTTGTAAATATTTTTCGATAAATATTTATGAAATGAAAGTTTTCATTTATGAAGTCAAGTCAAAATTAAAAAAAGAAACAAAAATAAATATCCTTAAAGGATATCGAACTTTTCTCCTATTGACTCAGATTTATTTTAAAGACATCTTCACAATTCAAATACGAGTATGCATACATACAAAATATTATCAATAAGAAAGAAAATTTTTATTTTCCCTTTATTTCGATATGTGCTCACATATATGTAGATATGTATATTTCCATTGAATATCAATACAATTGGATTTAATTGAAATTTCAAAAAAAAAACCTTTGTTTTATTTTTACAAAAACAATTGTGATAACAAAAAAGCAAAATGGGATTTTTTTCTCTGACAATAAAAGAAAAATTCAAAATGAATTTTTTTTTTATTTTATTTTTCCCAGACATTCAATATATTACTATGTATATGTATTCATACATAATAAAAATTTATAAATATACATTACATGTATACATACATTACATGATACTTTAAATATAGGCAAAAATATATTATGTTTGTACAAGTAAATAACACTTGTAATAGAAAGCCTCTAGTCAAATTATTGTCTGTAATCCTTGAAACTAAAACCAATTTCATTGATATAGAAATCAAAACCAATTGACATGACAATGAAAAAAATTTACTCTTAATACATTACTCTAAACAAAATATAAAAATCAAATGAATTTGAGTCTTAGTTTATAACATCCTTACAAAATTAAAACTTGGTAACGGACCGGGTTAGTATGAAATGAGCTCATCATTTCCAGCAAATTTCCTATATTTGTACTTGTAGAAAGAAGGAACGTAAATATAACAGTAGATGTCTTTCATATTGAATTTTTTTAAAACGAATAATACAAATACACCAACTTATATTAATATTAATGAAAGTATTACGATTTTTCAAATAAATTTAAAATTTAGCGCAAGGTACGAAATTTGAATCAGATGAACTTTCTATTTCTGTTAAATAATTGAAATAATAATTTTAAATTAATCTTTTATAATAATATTTTACTTGTACTTCCACCTCTATTTACGGAATATTTATGTACATATATTTCAACAACGTATGTTATAAATTAAATAAACATCTAAATAAAATTGAATCAAACCAATGGTTTATATAACGTACCACTTTTCCCTTCATTAAGTGAAAATACTACTTTTAAAAACAATCTACAATTTAGTTAGCAGATTATTAAAATTAAGTTTATCTTTATACAAAAACATTTCAAGAATTGCATACATTCAGGATGAGAAAAAAAAATTGAAAGAAACGTCAACATAATGCTGATTAAATTTTTTTAAATTATAAAAATTCGAAAAATTTTACTGGCCATTTTGTTTTTCTAAAGCTCAATTACGGTATGCCGTGGTAGAACAGACCAGCCACTATTCTGCTTTTGCAAAATTTAAAAAATGCTTATGGTTTTGCTATACAATAGTTTAAAAAGTAGCATTATTAGGGTTTTGCGAGACTACAACGTTTATAGGCGGGAAGCTCTCATAGGGAAATGAGGCTTTCATAGGAAGTCAAGGGAGATATTGGAGGGGATAGGTAAAAATCTTCTTCTTCTAGTAAAAATTTATGTACATATGAAATTTCAGTTTTCTATCCTAAAGGGTGTAGAAGTTTTGTAAACATGATAACGGAGGAACGGAAAGAGTGAAATTAATAAGCACTTTTTTTAAAAATTTTTTGGATATTCAAATATTATTATATTTGAGAATTTTTTTCAATGAGTTTTTCTCTTAAAAATGTCTTGGTCATTTAATTTTATATCTTGGCCAGTATGCGACAACTACATACACTGTGAATGTTTCTTTATTTCTTTTTTAAATTTACAGATATGAGATAATTCTTAAAATAATACAGAACAAATATTAAATTAAAATTTAGAAAAAGAGAAAAAGAGAGAGAGAAAAAAAGTTTTTTTACTACAATAACACAATCTCTCCGTCTCAATTCTCAAATTATAATTAATCCGGTCAGGAGAAATTTTGTTTTGCAAAAACAAAAATCAAACAAAAACACAACAAATCAGGTTTTTAAATATAAATTCATAAATTAAGATTTAGTACACTTCAACATTCGAAAGAGTAAAGAGAAACAATAAATAAAATTATTATATTAATTTATTTAATTAAAATCAATTGAATTGACCAAATGGCATTTAAAAATAATACACTTACAAAAATTCCACATTGTGAATGGGAACAATTAAGAGATTTATATAAAATAGACTGGCTCAAACATCATATTGTTTATAATTCAATTCAAAATTATATAAAATGGTTTGAAAAAGATTCCAAAATTAAAAATTTAGAAATATTTTCTTTAAATGATAATTGGTCACAAGATGGAACATTTTTAATTTTGGTAAGCATATATATAATATTGTGTATACAAATATTGAATTTATTATTATAAAAAAATTTACTAAAAATTTTCAGGATCGATACCTTGTACTAGCAAATACATTAAACGATAATTTAAATAACTTAATAACGATATTAAATCTATTGGATAAATCAAGATATTATTATATATTTGGAATAACTGAAAGAATACTACCAGCAATAGAACAATTTTTTAAAATCAATAATTGGAAATTTAATCCGGAAGAGAATAGAACGGTTTGGCATATTTTGGATAGGAAATGTATAGAGAATTTTGATATTAAGTAATAAATTTTGATACTTCAAATTATTTATATAACAAAATTATATTTATAGTAAATATTAATTGATAATTCTTATAGACCTCCAAAAGGAATTATTTTGAAATCATTATCAGAAGAAAATTCTGGTATAATAAATGAACTTTGGCCTTATAGTCATCCGGGATCTGAAAATTTCATAAAACGACAAATCAAATACAATTATAGTTTAGGAACTTTTAATGAAAATTCTGGAGAATTAATTGCTTGGTGTCTAAGGTGATTTTTATGAAAAAAATTATAATTGTTAATTAAATTATTTAAATAATTAATAATTTTTATAATTGAAAAATATATATATATATATAAATATTTTATTTTTTCTTTCAGAACATATTTAGGATCATTAGGAGTTCTACATGTTTAAGATGAATTTAAAAGACAAGGTTATGGTTCTTTAATGGTTAAAGCAATGTCAAAATTTTATTATAACAATGAAGAAGATGTTACAGCACCTGTTGTAGCAACTAATACAGCATCAAGAAATATGTTTCAAAAATTAGGTTTTAAAGAATTTGGTAATGCTTATGTTCTATTTACGGAAGCTAACAATCCAAATTATGAATGGAATGAAAATGATGATTATTAAACTAGAAATTCATTATTACAATTGATATTAATTTATTTCAATTATTATCTGTACTCATATATTGTGGAAATTATCATATTATTAATTTTATTATTTTACAAGTCCCCACTTCAAATCAAATTTTTTATCAAAGTACAAAGAGTTATAATCAAAATATTGCAGCTTATATTCCACAAAGTATATTCTTTCACTTTATTTTAGATTCTCTGCGTTTAAGTTGAAATCAAATACAATAACTACATAAATTTATGTCAATAAAAATATAATTCAAAATTAAACAAGAATGAAGCAACTTTAGTTTAATTTTCTCCTCTTATCTAGTATTAATTTTTATTATTTTTATTATAAAAATATAAACAAAACATCATATTAAAGTGACAGTAAATATAATTACAAAAATACTTCAACACTATTTACTCAATTTTTTGTTTCACACTCATATTTCAATTAAATTCTCTTCTTCTACTTCTTTTATTTTCAATGTTTTCTTTTAGTATTCGCTCAAACTTGATCTAGTGTGGGTCGTTTATATTTTTTTTCCCTTAGAATTTATTAAAAAATAAAATAAAATTTTTTGCGATGTCATCATCTTTAGATCAACTTGTTGAAATAGAACAAAATGATTGGCCTATATTACGAGACCTATATAAAATTGAATGGCCTAAACATCATATTGCATTTAACATTATTCAAAATTATATTAATTGGTTTCAAAAAGATCCAAATGTTAAGTATATTAAAGTTTATTCTTTAAATGGAGATTGGAGTGACGGAACATTTGTAATTGTGGTAAGAAATAACAAATTAATTTGTAATAGATTATTAAGTAAATGAAATAGATTATTAAGTAAATGAAATTAATTATTAAAATTAAATATTTTGTAATTATGTATAGCTAAAAAAAAAAAATTTTTTTTAAACTAAATTTTAAAATTTATACAAAAACTATTATTTAATCGAGTAATATAAATTAATCAGTTCATTTTTAAATTATAATAAAATTTTTATAAATTTAAATCTTAAAGATAATATTTAATTTTAAAGATAATTTTTATTAAAAAATAATATAATAATGCAATTCAGTAAGTCTTTAATCATTCACAATAAGCATTCGAAGTATTTAACTCGCAATTATTATATTATTTATACTCAATTTTGAGTGTATTCATCAATAAATGTATACTCTCACCTTCCATCTTGAATAAATACATAAATACAAAAATACACTGATCTCATTCTCATATGGCAAAATGAAAAATTACTCATTTTTCTCATTCTGTTGTGATGTTAATTACATTAATGTTGAACGAAGAAATTTTGTGTGAAATCGTGAAGTTTGTAAATTTATTCTAGTGGATTTAATGTTATAATTAGTTTTAGAAATCATTAAAATGCTTAATAAATGTTTAAAATAAATTGTGTAGTGTAAAATCAATTATGCACAGAACAATTAAAGAATGATGTGTAAATATTTGAACTCCTTACTTAATAATTAAGTATGAAAAAAAATTTTATTAAATAAAAAAAAAAAATTTATAAAAGGATTCATAATTACTATAGCGAATTCATTTCAAGAAAGAATAAAATTTCATAGCATTAAGTATGCCTCTCTCCTTAGGATTTCTATTACAAGGGATTGCTTTTGATACAATGGAAAGTCATATACAAATAGTGCTTAAATAGTTATTAACCCTAGTTTTATGATTAATATTTGCATTATTGTTTCACGAAGACAATAAAATTACAATTTTCATAATTTAGAACTGAATTTACTAACTTTTTCTATAATATCGATAACAAATTTTAGTGCAATAATTGCTTCATATTTATACTAATCTTCTTATCGAATGTTCTAATCAACAATTTGCTCTTAATACATAAAAAAAATCATAAAAATATTAATAAAACGTTGGGGCTTAAAAATAGGCTAAATTGTATATCAACTATTTGAAATATTTTAAATTTGTAAATTTTCTATACTTACATTAGGACAGGTATATTGTACCGTTTTGTACTCTTAACAAAAATTTAAATCGTCTTACAACAGCACTCAATCTCTTAGATAAATCAATACCATATTATTTATATGGCTATGTTGAGCGTGTTGCACCGGCTGCTAAGAAATATTACGAAATAAATAATTGGATCTATGACAAGCATGTTTGTAATACAATTTGGTACCGTAAAAAAAACAATAATAAATTAGAGTTTGAAATAAAGTAAGTCCCAAAATATGTAATATTCTCGTAATTATCAAAAGCAAATCCTAACATGAAAATTAACACTATCATAAAATATTACAGAATACCAGATCATTTAATTCTAAAACCTTTACAAGAAAACGATGCTATAATCGTTAATAATGTTTGGCCTCATCGTCATCCTGGTTCTTTGAATGCCATTAAACGACTTATAAGATATAATGAAAGTTTAGGAATATTCCGAAAAGATAATGATGAATTAATAGCTTGGTGTCTTCGGTACGTTGAAAAATAATATAGTACAAAATATGATATAAAAAGTTTTTTTTTTTTTAAATTGTAAATGAAAAAATTTCTAGTTTAACTTTGGGCTCACCAGGATCACTTCAAGTTAAAGATGAATATAAACGTCAAGGTTTAGGTATACTTCTAGCAAAAGCAATGTCAAATATTTTAATGAATCTCGGAATGGAAATAGTAGCTCCTGTTGTTGAAGAAAATGTTGCATCAAAAAAAATGTTTGAAAGCCTTGACTTACAAAAAGTTGATATGATTTATTGTAATTGGACTGAGCCTCTTAATCCAAATAATGTTTGGGAAGATAAAGATTGCGAATAATATATAATTTGTGTAGAAATATACGTTACAACAAATTCGTTATATAATATTTGTTTTTATTTAAAAAACAACAAAGAAATTTAAAATTTTAATTGGCTCCAATTTTACATTCAAAGAATTTAGTATAATTCATCTATGAAAAAGCATGTAAAAAAATACTGTTTTTGTGTTAGTAAACAATATGTGGAACAAATTCATTCATAAGTAAACATTAAGTAGCACCTTTATATGGTTCATGTATATATTTCCAAAATTAATGCAAATAAACAGTGTATTTTATAAAATAAGTATTATATTAAAAAGAGGGTCTAACGTTTTTCAAATAGTCATAGTATATAGAAATCTAAAACTGGAAAACAAAAATTGAAATTCAAAAATTGGCTAAACCATTTCTTTTTAATACCCTTCATTTCGTGTATATATGAGAATCATCTCGAATACGTTATCTTTATCATCTTCTCAACCATGAACTTCAACTTACCTAATATTTTTATAAAATATTTGATGTTAATAAAATAACAAAAAATAATTGCATTTTTATAACCCGTCTACTAATTTCTTTCTTCAAAAATTAGGACAGATATAATGTTACATTTTGTACTTTAAATAAAAATCTAGATCGTCTTACAAGATCTTTAAATCTACTAGATAAATCAATATCATTTAATTTATATGGCTATGTAGAACGCGTATTGCCAGCTGTACGAAAATATTTTGAAATTAATAATTGGGAATTTAATGAAAATGAATGTAAAGCGATTTGGTATCATTGCGAAAATGAAAAAGTTTCAAAATTTGAAATTAAGTATGTATACGATTAACAAAAAATTTACTTAAAAAATTTATGATCATTTCCCACATAATCCGAAATAAATTTCCAGAATACCAGAAAATATTATATTGAAACAATTGGAAGAAAGTGATGCAAAAATTGTCAATGAATTTTGGCCACATCATTGTCCCGGTTCGTTGAACACAATGAAACGACTCATCCGATACAATCCAAGTATTGGAGCATATAGAAAGGATACTGGAGAACTAATGGCTTGGTGTCTCTGGTATACATTTGATTTAAGCTAAATAATATATTTTATTTACATTGAAAATCTTTAAAATATTTCTAGTCAAGTTGTAGGATCGTTAGGATCACTTCAAGTTAAAGAGCAATATTTGCGTCAAGGTTTAGGAGCTTTATTGGTAAAGTCGATGTCAAAAATATTTATGAATTGTGGAATGGAATCTTTTGCAGCTGTTGTTGTAAATAATATTGCATCTGACAATATGTTCAAAAAACTAGGATTTGAAAAAACTGATATTATTTATTGGAATCGTACAATACCTTCCGATCCAGAACATGTTTGGAAAGATTCTGGTGATGAATAAATATTTTATAAAGAAATTCATGAATAAATAAAATTTTGAATAATTAATAATTATTTCGGTGTTTTCATTATTAGTTAGAAAAAATTACTCGGATTTTAATAAAAATTAACTATAACATAACAAAAATTGAGAGATAGACGTTCTACAAAAATACTTTTAGTCTTATACTTTTGCCTTAATTTTTATTCTGATTGTTTTAAAAAACAAATAACAACCTATTTCCAGGACCGAATTCATGTTTTATTTTATACTCTACCCGATAATATGGAACGTTTATTAACTGCTTTGAATTTATTAGATAAAACCAAGAAATTCATTCTATTTGGTTTTGTTGAGAGACTCTTACCAGTTGTGAAAAACTTGTTTAGCATGAATGAATGGCCACTAAACTTAGAAGATGGAACTACTGTCTGGCAATATATTAAAAAGGATGTTGCAAAAAATTTTGATGTTTCGTATGTTTTCGCTTTATTTTTTTTTTAACCAAAATTGACAAAAAAAAATTTTATACTTTTAAGACCTCCTCCCGGTACTGTACTAAGACAATTGAGACAAGAAGATGCGAAAACTATTAATGAAATATGGCCACATCGTCATCCAGGTTCAATAAATTTTATAAAACGTTTAATTTATTATAATCTTAGCATGGGAGTTTATAAAGAAGATACCGGAGAGTTAATTGGCTGGTGTTTAAGGTAAAAATATAAAAAAAATACCGTTATGTCATTCTAAATCGAATTTTAAAATACTATCAAAACAGACTACTTATAGGTTCATTGGGAATTCTACATATAAAAGAAGGATACAAACGACAAGGATTTGGTAGTTTATTGGTAAGAAAAATGTCTAAAAGTCTTGCTGATATGAATGAAGATACAACAGCACCTGTTGTTATTAAAAATACGCCCTCTAGAAATATGTTTAAAAAATTGGGTTTCGAAGAAGTTGGAAAAAATTACTGGGTTGATACAACTGCAAGTGATTCTAATTATAAATGGCCAGAAGATATTTAATGTTGTATGGGAATCCTATAGAATCTGTAATTATTAGTAATTTATCTTCTGTAAATTTTTTTTAACTAATTAAAATAATTGATGTAAAGGTCGTTTTCTTCTTTATTTTTTATATTTTAGGTTATTTCAGGATAGTCCTTTTTTTACTAAAAAATTTATAAAAGTTTTGAGTAATTACGTATTTTTATTACCACACGAACGTGAGTTTAAAGGGTACTACAAATTTGTCTTGCCGTTTATCACGCTCAGAAATAATGGTCTAAAATAAAAGCTTAAGTATATGTTTTTGATCAGCGTCGAATTCAAAATATTAAAAATAAATGTTATCTCTTATTATAGAAGAAACGTGTGACACAATGACCTTATTAAGTGAATTTCCAAATATTAATTATAAAAAAAATTAAATCTTCCTAATCACTTTATTTTATTTTAGCTTTCACCTCAATTATAATTTATTAAACTTGGAATGATATTGGTGATTAATTGTACATCGCAAACTCGATTCTATGAATTTTATACCCGAAAGTCAAATATATGTTTACTGGGTTTTTCTTCGCCCATGTTATTAAGCATACCTAAAATTTTTTTTTTTAATTTATTTGAATTGTGATACGGGTCGTAACGGGAATGATTTTATTGGCGAATATGCCAGTAGAATAGAGGGCCCTGTAAATGATCAGTGCAGGAGTTTCTGTGATCTCGTACCCGTGCGAATGTAATATTTGAATATTCAAACTTATAATTTTTATTGCTAATTTTCTTAAAACTAGCTATGTATATAATATAAACTATAAAATTTATGTAAAGTGCTTAATAATAATTTCAATAATTTTTTAATTCCATAATATTTTAGACTAGACAAATTAAAGGTCACAAGTGTGAAAAGAATATTATTTTGAATAATTTTTGATAACATTTTAAAACTATAAAAATTTAAATGATAGAATGAATGAAAATTATAATCAGCATCTATATTTAATATAATAGATGGAAAATTTAAATAAATGGTTATTTAAAAATTATGCAAACTCAATGCTCTTTTATACTGCACATTATAATCATAATAAAAAAGAAGCAGATCATGGTTCGAATATATTTTTAATTTAATATCTTTAAATGTAAATTGCTAAAGAAGAACTCAAGTGCTAATATACTATAATGCAAATGCAAGGAGGAAAAATTTAATAAGAAAAACATGAAGAGCAATGAAATTTCATATATTTTTTATAGAGAGAAAAAATATTACTCTTTAATAAATTATAAGAAGTGAAATAGAGTAAAATTTTAAACTTCAAAAAAATTTCATTTATAATAAAATTTACATTTAGGACTATATCCAGGAGAAAGGCTACGAAATATACTTAAAGTCAGAAATGAACACACATTTTTTTGAAATTAGAAAAACTTAATATGAACAGAACTGGAATGAGTTTTGATTTATTGTTATTTCTTAGACGAAAAATTTACACCACATAAAAATGTCCTCTCTAATGCTTAGTTCATTTTAGCGTATCACTCAAACTCTCACACATTCACTATCATTCACATTCTTTGATCTGATTCCCATGAAAGTTCACTAAGAAACATTACTTAAATATTAAATTTCGAAAAAAAAAATCGTTAATAACATCTACACTCCTTGATACACTACATTGAAAGGTGCCTTAACTGCGGGGAATACACACTGGCTACCTTCATAGACATTGAAGGCACTTTCAACAATGTCGGGTCGCGGTCGATCACGCAAGCTCCCTGACTGCCCTGATAGGGAATATTTTGTCAGGCAGATTCATCAGAGCCAGCTTTGGCGGGTCATGCATTGAGTGCTCTGTTGGAAGTTGTACCCCTCAGGGGGGTGTGCTTTTCCTCTTCTCTGGAACCCGGTAATCAATCGGTTACTGGTACTCCTGGAGGGGAAAGGCTGTAAGGTGGTCGCTGGGAAACACCTCCACGCACTAAATGGGCTGATACAGAAGTTTCTTAGCCTAGTTTCGAACTGGGCGACCGGCTGTGGGCTATCTATTAACCCTCAAAAGACGAAGCTAGTCATTTTCAGTAGGAGATATAAGATTCCGGACGTAACTCCTCCGAAACTTGGCGGAATCTGCCTATCCTTAAGCAGGGAGGCTAGATTCCTGGGGCTGGTTCTGGATTCAAAGCTGAACTGGAGACCTAACATCATGGAGAGAGTAAAGAAAGCAACTGTTGAGCCTTACTCGTGCAATAGGGCCATCGGGAAGAGTTGGGGCCTGAAACCAAGCATGGTTTACTGGTTGTACACCGCGGTTCTGGTGTGGTGGCCCGTACTTCCTTAAACCTGGGATTAATCAGCAGGGTTCTGAGAATGGCAATGGTTTGTGTTGGTGGAGCTCTGCGCTCCACCCCTACACATTCTCTCGAGATTCTCTTGCATCTGCTTGGCGAGCATGTGGTGTTCGTGGGCAATGTTAGCATCTTCACGGACAGTCAAGCCGCTATAAGGGCGCTGGAGTCAGACAACTACGTCCGGAACGTTCCTATATTGCAGGTCGTCTCTTAACGAGATGGCGGGCAGTTCGAGTTAAACTTGGGTTTAGGTTCCCGGACACAGTGGGATCTCGGGGAATTGCAAGGCGGATGAGCTTGAGAGACATGGAACGACCCACGGAATTCTACCTGAAAAAGAGAACCTGGGCATGCCTCTAAGCACTCACAGGTTGCTGCTACACAGTGCAGCGCTGGAACGTACCAATCTCAGATGGGCGAATGGAACTACGTGTAACGCAGCAAGGAAGTTGTAGCCAAAGCTATACTTGTGTCGCACAAGGGATCTGATATCTCTCCGACGGTTGGAAATTGGTGCAGTGATAGGGGTTTAAACTGGACACTGTCTGATTGGCAATCACGCCAGGAGGATGGGCCGCCCCGCAAACGATCGCTGTAGGAGCTGCTGTGACGAGGAGGAGGAGGAAACGGTGACCCATCTGCTGTGCTCGTGTCCGGCGCTGGCGAACTCCAGGCGGAGGTTTCTTGGGTCCCACTTTTTTGGGCGGGCTACGGACCAAGCGAATGTAAATGCTAGGGATCTTGGCCGGCTTCTGAGGAACTCGAGCTATGAGGGAGAAGAGGAGAATCCGGCGGCATCACAACGGGCCTTGGCGGCCTAGGTGTATCTTTCGGGGAGCCGAGCCACCTAATCTATGTGGCTTGAATCAGCGCTATGTGGCCTCTCCATAAACTAGCTCTCCTAATGTTTATACATTTAGCATGTTTTTTAGAGAAAATTTGTGTTGCGCCTCATAAAATTTATAAAGGTTTCTTTTCGGTACCTATTTTGGATTGATAACCTTTTCTTTTATATTATCCTTTTCTATAATATTAATTTTAATTTTTTTTTTAAATTATTGAAATAAAAAGAAAATTTTGTTCAATTTCCTTTCAATAAAATTGAAAAGGTAAAAATTCTTTTTTACTTTTCTTATTCTAACGCATACTAAAATTTCAAACAAAACCCATTACATAATTATGGTTTAAACAAAACCCTTATATATATAAGTATATGGTGTACACACACACATATAAATATTCTGCCAAACATTAAAAATTAAAATCCATATACCAATAAAAGTTAATTTTACAAAAAGTTATACGTACACTGAAAAAAAACAACAAAAAAAAAAAATTGAAAAATTTTCACTTTCAAATCAATTTTCAAATAAAACACATACAATCAATTTTAATTAGTAATAGAAAAGTGAATATGAAATTAAAATCATAATGATGTTAATTAGATGTACCACACATATACATACACTGCAATGCAGAACATATTTATGTAGATTAAACAATAAAAAACAAGGAAACTTTATGGTATTTTGTAGGGAAAAATGTAGAAAAACCAAACGGAAAATGGGATTTATGCAACAAAAAAAAAAATTGAAAACTTTTTTTTTCCTCATATTCTCAGGGTATACTCGTACACTATGCACATATTTACACATATTATGTTTTTTAGCTTATTAAAATTTTTTTCCATATTTTGTATCAATAGTTTTGACCTACTTGCATCAAAAAGAGATAAACTTTATTTTCGTATACAAAATGAAAAAAAAATTTTTTTTAAATCAAGGACAAGTTTTGTTTTAAATCTATTTTGTATACAACTAGATTTTTCAATATATTGCGTTATATAAGTTTTAGTTAAAAAATTAACTTTTATTTATTTTGCGTATAAATTAATTCAGACATTTTTAAAGTGAAAAGTTGTTGTTCTAAAGCTAAAATTATAATTGGTAGAAATAATATTTCAATTAATTAAAATTATATAAAAAAGAAAAGACAAATGCGTACACTTTATATGTAAGTTACAATAAATTTCACACCTTATATTAAATGGCAACACTGATCAGTTGTAATACGAGCTTTATTATTATAAAAGCTCTTAATACAAAAATCAAATTCAACTTATAAATTTCAACGCGTAATACAAAATCTCTTCAGAGATAAAATAAAGAGTACATTCATTTACATTACAAATTTCTCTTTCTCACATAATTCTCAAAATAGCTCGTAAGAAAAACGCATTAGCTTTTATACGATCATTCATAATATTATTTTCTCTCTCTCATCAAATTTTGTTACATTTGAATGCATTTATTTCATTTTTAATTAGCAATATAACTTAATATAACATTTTGTAAATAAGAAACTTTAGTAAAATTCCTAAAGAGCTGTCATCTACAATAGGAATTACATTTTAAAATAATACTCAACAAAAATTATTATATAACAATAAGATATTTACTACACATAAGAAAAATGAACTGTAATAATAAAATTATTCCGATACCAATTGAATATTGGCCAAATTTAATGAATATGTATAAAATTGATTGGCCAAAACATTTATTAACATTTTATACAATTAAAAATTATATTGATTGGAAAAATAATCCTGAAATAGAAGAAGAAGCAGAGGAATTTCAATTTTATTCATTGAATGGTGATTGGAGTGATGGTACCCATGCGATTATTGTATGTTTTGTACTATGTTAAATTTAATATTGATGAATTTTTAAAAATTTTTTGTTTTGTTTCTTTTTGTTAGGATAAGAGCAATCATGTGATGTTTAATACTTTAAATGAAAATTTTAAAAATTTAAGTGATTTACTACAACTATTATTATCTATAGAAAATTTCTATTTAATTATAACACCGGGTGAAATTGAATGTGATGTTATAAAATTTGTAAATAAATATAATCTTATCATTGGTGACGGTAATGCAGCTTATCTTTATCATTTAAATAAAGAGATAGCTTTAAATTTTGATATCAGGTAATTATTTTTTTTTTATTTTCTATATTAATTCATACATACACAAATCATATAATTTTGTTCTGCAACTCTAAAATAATAATTTTCTTATACGCTCATTGAATAGAATAGAGAAAAAATAAATAGAACACTCTAATAAACTTTGAATTTAAGATAAGTGAAACTATATGATTGTTACAGAAAATTAAAAATAACAACAATATTAATAAAGAAAAGTAAATAAAATTAAATTAACAATCGTATATTAATTGCACTTTATTGTGTAAGCGCCACAATGACAGTGAAAAAATCTGATATGGCCAGGACATGACTGATCGCAATGTAAATTGTTTAGTTTAGTGAAAGTTTTAATTTTAAACCATTCTTTCCAATTTTAAGAAAGCTAGTAAGCTTTTAGTTAATATACCTAGAAAAATATAAATTTGGCCTTTAATAAAGTTTTGTTATTTGTCATTCAATTCCTTGAATAGTTCGCCAATTAGTTACGATAACAAGCCGAGCCAAATTATTAAATTTTAAAAAATTTCATCACTTAGTTTCGTAGATATAGTAAAAAATGTTAAATCTGTCCCATACTAAAATTTCAGCGAAGTTGGTTGATTGTTTCTTCTTATATGCGCAAAAATGTTAAAACGGCCTGCAAAAACTCATATATAAAATTGGGTCAAAATCGGTTCAAACGAACTTGAGATATACGCGTACATACACAGACTGACAGAGAAGCACACCTATAGGTCGACGGACCGAGATATCTTTCTAAAAATACTTTTATTTACGCTTTACGAAGTGCGTTCTCACTGGAAACTCGATATCCGAAATTTAGTGTCATCGTATGACCTCCCGTCTGACGTATGCAAAGAGGTTGGTAAAAATCGATGGGAAAAATTGTCGCTGGGATAAAATCATGAAAAAAGTTTTTTATACATTTTTATTTAGATTATATCAGCAATAAATACAGGCATATATGTGTTACAATATAGAATTTATGTCGCTTATATTTTATACTTAAAATTTTTTAAATTCAAAACAATAAAAATAACTCTTTTTCTTTTTTTTTAAAAATTAGACCTCCAAGTGGATATAAAATTAAAACGTTATCAGAAGAACATGCAAATTTTATTAATAATTTATGGAAATATAAACATTCTGGCTCAGAAGAATATTTGAAAAAATTAATTCAAAGAAATTTGAATTTGGGAGTTTTTGATGAAAATGATTGTCTTGTTGCATGGTGCCTTAGGTAAATATTAAAATATTTATATACATAAATGCATATAAAAAATTTTGTATTCACTGGCAACGTTAGACTAAAACATGTATTTTAAAACCCCCAAAATCACAATATAAATGGAATAATAAATATACAATAAATTTTATAATAAATTCATTTTAAAATGTAAAAATTTTATAAAAAACCTCTATGCGCCCCTATAAATACAATAGGAATAGAGTTAGTGTAGCGGAATCAATACGAGTATTCATGATTCGTGAATTATTCTACAATAATTTTAAATTTGTTTTTTTTGTTTTGTATAATTTTTTGTATTTTTTAGAGTAGAATATGGTCTATTGGGAACACTACAAGTGGTTGATACACATAAGAGAAAAGGATTAGGATCATTAGTAGTAAAAGCATTAGCAAAACTTTCAGCCGAAAATAATTTTGATTCTGCAGCTTCAGTGGATATTCCAAATATATCATCGAAAAAATTATTTGAAAAAGTTGGGTTTGAACAATTCGGTATGATGCGTTATATTTATTTGGTACCAAAAGTTGAATAAAATTTTTCATTAAAAAAAATGTTTTTGTACTACTGAGCGTATTTAATAAATTTTGTATAAGTTCAAAAATAATTACAATATTTTAATTTTTTATTCCAATTATTTTAGAATAGTATAAATTTAAAGATATGTTCCAGACTAATATGGCCGAAGATATATAAAGAAGGCACAAGAAATACTCAAAAAGTTTATTGACTTATGTTCTCCTGGAATGCTGTAATCCGTTTCGTAAATGTGTTTCAAAACCTCTTCCCTTAAATGTACTTTTATTTGGATTTGCTCTATTATGAGCTACATCTCATATTTTCAATTTATCCATGATCGAAATTAACAAGCTTCTTAGTCGGTATTTACTACCGGTTTCATATGTACGAATATGTTACTTTTAAACTGGTAAATTATCAAATTCCCTGAACGAAAATCATAAGTCAAAGATCAAACCCATATTGTTGCTTATTCCTCCAATACTCTGGACTGCATGGCTGCCATGACCAGTAAGAAGTTTTCTTCTAACTTCAAGTCCTCTTTTTCCATCGAGCATTATTGCTCTTTCTACATTCCAGCACCATGTGGATCATTGAGTTAAAAGCTACCTTTTTCTGTTTCATTGAATCATTCGAATGCATCCGCGTGTAGTTGTTATAACTATTCATACTGAATCCAATTTCGTCCAATTTTCTTTTCACGATCCAAGAAAGACAAAACTCCATTCTCTTCAATTTTGTGCTTCCATTTTGTTCGATGTTACTATATATAATTTATTAAAACATCAGATATTTTCTAATTTCTCCTTATCCACATTATGAAACTTCTTCAACATACCACATACATACTCAGGCCACGAGACATAACTCGTCCATATTGTTTTTCAATTTCGACATAAATAATTGATGGTGAAAGTGGATTGATTTTCGATACTCCCGACCGACGTCACATAAGAAATAAAATTCTTGACACTACTAAAATGTGATTGACCAGTTAAAAGCGTCACGTAGAAAAATTACATATAACCAGGTAATATTAACGTGTTAGTCCGTAGAATAGTAAAACCATATGTTGAAAATAATACTAAAAATTATAATTTCACTAGTTCACATAAACAAGAACCATCTAGATAATGCACTTAACACAATATCAATAATTTCATTATTTCTCTCTTTATATATGTTATAGACACTCTCAAATACTCCCCTTCTTAATGTACAGTATTTAACACTATGGCACAATATGCAAAATTTATGCAGTTTATTTAAAGTATATGGTAGACTAATTGCATTTACATGTACAGTTAAACTAAATAATTACATTTTTTTGTGTGTGTGTGTATGAAAATCTTAAAAATGTTATCTTTCCAAAATAAAAAACAGCATAAAATATAACAATAAATTCAATAGAAGCACCGTCCTTATAGATTAAAAAAAATAATTTTTTTTTTTAAATTTTCGATAAAAAAAAAAAAAACATTTTTACTTTCTCCCAAAAACAGAAATTCTCATTTAAAATTCAAAACTTGTAGATTCATAAAATTCAAGAATATTTAATTAAACTCAAAGATAAACTACTTTTACATTGTGCAAAATTTACTAATTTTAATACTTTTCTTTTTTTTTCAGCAACCATGTTGAATGGTAAAAATTTACAATTTTCACAACGTCTATTACAATAAGAAGGGTTAATTTTTTTTAAAGCAAAAAGATTCCAAGGAAAGGAGAAATTTTAAAGTAAGGTCGACACTTTTTAAAGTGTTTCAACTTACAATCGTTAAAGTTTTTATGATTATCAATTATATTTCATCCCATATATAAAATACTAAATATAATTTTTGCAAATAAAGGACGATTTTATACTCCAATACAAGAATTTTGCAGAATAGGCGCACGAAAAAACTCCAAAATTTTCTTTATTCTGTACCAAATTTAATTCCTAAATCGAATCCACTCGATTTCATATTTTATATTCAAAATTTGATACATTTAAAATTCAAGACTGAAACAGCTTAAGAGCTAAACAGCTAATTTATACATTCCGATAGAAATAGATTTTTAACATAATAATATGTAGCATATAATGTAAATTTCAATTGCAAGAAAAAATTTTATTAATCTAGAAAACGAAGAAATTTATTAAACAAAAATTTTCTCTAGGCACGATATTGAATCAGCATGTTTTAGTCTAAGATGCAGAATATTGAATCGTTCGTCCAGTTCAGCATAGAAAAGATGTGTCGGATACAGGAGATAATGATTATGTCGAATAGCCGAACTGCCATCGGAGCGCTGAATTCGTTTTTGGTATCCTAAGAGCGAAATCGGGTTAATCTGTACTGGATGCTAGGCCATGTAGGCTTAGAAGGAAATGAGGCAGTTAATGCGCTGGAGCTTGTACACCCCTCCTCGACCCGGAACCCTTCTGTGGAATAAAACCACATACTATTCATTGAAAATTGAGAAATGAATCAGAAAGAAGGCGGTCGAACCCAAGAAGAGCCATCTGGGACGACAGGCTCGGAACCTGCTTAAAATCAGGTTCCCCAGTTTATGCAGGCGGCTTGGGAATATCTCTAAGTGAACAAAATCCTATAATTCCGCCATTCAATTCCCTTTCAAATCTACAACATAGTACCTTACACAGAGAGCTCGAAACACTTGCTAAACACTTTTCTTTAAAATTAAAATTTTTATATAAACACAAACATATGAACAAACAAAATATTAAAAGAAATTGTATACCATTATTAAAAACAAAACTTTTTCTAACTTTGAAAAACTTTTTTTAATACTTTTATAGACTCGTATATACATATACACATGAAGTAATTCAAATAAGTAAAACTATGTATGTACATATTACATATATACGAGTATTATATAGAGATAGAAAATCAATGAAAAACTGAAATGAATCGAAAATTTACGATTTTGTTATTATCGTATAGTTTTACTATACCGTTTCTATAATTATAATTTTATAGTTGAATAAATTTCACCTTTCCAATATAACTGTGTATTAGCATTGTTCAAAGGAAAATACTTTTAATATACGTATGTAAGTATGGAAAGCAATGGAATATCAGCTATGAATTCCCAATTGAACACTAAAAATTGTTGAAAATAAAATTTGCTAAAATGCACCTTATATATTTGAACAGGTTTGAATGTACATTATATATAAACGTTTTATAATTTTTCAAAAGCTAAAAATTTAGGCAAGTACTTATATTTGGACGCTATTATTGTACCAACAATTATTGATTGAATATACGTTCAGACATATTGCACATTTGAGAATTTCTTTTGCACTTTGAATCCACTTGATGATAATATTATAGTAATATGCACAATCAACAAATTTTTATTCATTATGTGTAGTTGATTATTATAGGTTCAATTTGACAATATTGTATACATGTTATATATAAGATTCCCGTAAATATTTTTAAGTCAATTTCTCACTAATATTATAATAATAATAATGTGTTTAATATTATTCAAAGGTGGCGCAGTTGATTTACCACATTTGATTTAAAAATACTATTTATTGATTTTAGCACACTTTGATTGTAAATTACTACTACATCAACCATTAATTTACGTTTACTATTCTGACTGTGAAAGATCTTATTAGTTAAAACTGCACTGCAATAGAACTAATAAAACAGCACTGACATCAAAACCTGTGATTTTATCTCTACTAATTGATGTTATGAATATGAAAGCAGAATAAAATTTTATGCTGTCGATTTGACATAAGATGTTTTGCAGTTCTATCAACAAAATCGAAATGCTTTTTGCAGCAAACTACAAAAACGTACTGCGCGAATGAATTTATTTTCCTCAATATAGCACGTTCCATATATGCCACCTTAAACTTTCCAAAATCCACATCAGTCACTTTTATGTAAGCGAAACTTGGACAATAGAAGAATTATTGTTGGAGACAAACTTCATAATGGTTTATAGATAAATGTAGTTTAAATGAAATTTTAAAAAAATTTACCATAGCCCAGCGAAAAGATCTTGTCAATAATACAATTACAATTAGTAGTGTTAAATAAATTTACAAACTTAAAAATTTATTCGCGATTCGAACTTTCGATGATTTTTATAAGTACACATTCGGCAACCCCCCTTCCTTTTATTTTTGTATAAAACGAACTTGATTTTACAACATTCTTTATTTAATTCAATTTTAATGCAATAGCAAATTCAATGTACAATGTACAAAGAAATTCAACATAAGCAAAATGTACAATTGTTCAATGTACCTAAATGTGCATGTATGTATGTATATATAAAGAAAAGTAAGTTTAAACTAAAGTAGAAGTGTAAGATTACTAGTAAAAAAATGACCCATATCCTTAAAATATATTACATATAAATTCATTCTATAAATGCTGGTATTCAGAAAAAAAATGAATTTTATATACTGACACAATAATACTCATATGTATATGAAATATATGTATGTTATACTAATGTAATTGAAAAATTATAGAATTTTATTGAAAGATAGAAGAATAATATTATATGGGATTTTCAACACAACACTGCAATAATTTTGAAAATTTTCTTACACACATACTTAAATATTTTTTACGTTATTATATAGATACCCACACAATATTTTTTTCTTATAATAGCACCACTAAATTCGAATTGTGGTACATAACTTAAAAAAAAGAAAATGTTCTTCTGCAATAAGAAAACTTACAAGAAAATAATTTGGCAACTAAAACTAAAAATGGTTTATCCCGATTGGTTTATAGCTTTTACAAATCTAAAAGCAGTAGAATGAGAATAGCTATATAGAATTGATCTTGTTAGTTTTGTAATACTGAACTGCATGAGTATAATATTTCGGATTACAAGCGGCTATCAGGAAAATTTATTTTATTCCAAATATACTTAGTATCCATGTTCTTTCATTAAAAATTAGAGTTTCTTATTGTTTAATCAGAGGCATAATAAATTTTTTTTTCACCAGACAGACTTGCAATTTTCTGAATTCCGACTAGATTTTTCTTAAAAATTCGATTATATAGAAATTTGGTCAATA